TAGCTGGGCGTGGTGGAGTGTACCTGTAATCCCAGCTACTTGGGAGGCCGAGGCTGGAGAAATGCTTGAACCTGGGAGGTGGAGGTTGCAGTGAGCCAGGATCACACCACTGCACTCCAACCTGGGCGACAGAGCAAGACTCCATATCAAAATAAATAAATAAATAGGCTGGGTGAGGTGGCTCATGCCTGTAATCCCAGCAACTTGGGAGGCCTAGGTGGGTGGATCACTTGAGGTCAGGAATTCAAGACCAGCCTGGCCAACATGGTGAAACCCCGTCTCTACTAAAATCACAAAAAATTAGCCGGATGTGGTGGTGAGCTCCTGTAATCCCAGCTGCTTAGGAGGCTGAGACACGAGAATCATTTGAACCTGGGAGATGGAGGTTGCAGTGAGCTGAGATCGCGCCACTGCATTCCAGCCTGGGCAATAGATCGAGACTCTGTCTCAAAATAAATAAATAAATAAATAAAATGAACATAAAAATAGAAAAGTCAGCTGATGCGTCAGAAGGGCTTGGTAGACCATTTTCCATCATGTTCCATTATGACATTGAAGTACAGGGAATTCCTGCTCAGTGGGGTTTTCATTTGCCGCATTACCTGAAAGCAGATGTCTATCTAGAATAATGGAATGGCCCCACTGAAGCTTCAGGGATGGGGTCCCCTCAGGACCGTACCTTGAAAGGACAATGGCTGTCCGCTGAGTTGTGGCCTATGCTCTCAGTCAGTGGCCCTGTCCATAGCCCAGCAACATGGGGTTGAAAAATCAAGGTGTAAAGGAAGGAACAGCACCATCCCCAATCACACATAGTGAGCCAGTTTCATGTCCTTCCTTTCCATTCTCACAAAGCTGCAATATTAGCTCTTGGTGTGTGAAAAAAAATTTTTTTGGACAACATAGTTATGAGCATGAATGAACATTTTATTACAATCTTCCATGAAAGGAAATAAGGTCCCTTGTAGGCCAATTAAGATTCACTGTAATAGAGACTTTTTTTTTTTTTT